CATGTACTATGAACGCTAGACCAAAGGAAAACACTTCCTGGAGAGTAATGACCCGATTCTCTTGTTTTGTGACCAATGTATGTAGAGTCTTCAGCTAGAGTGTCTTACTATCAATTTCTTATGGAGAGTCAAGAGTGATAGCAATATTCGCTTTTGGTGGTTCTTTGGGACACCTATGACCAATAACTTCAAGGAAAGTGACTCACACCTGGCACTGGGCTCTTTATTTGGCAATTTATGGCTTCAGGAATGAGCAAAATCCCTTGAACAAGTTCTAAGTAAAATCTGTTATATGGATATTTATATATACTTAGGAAAGTTATAAAATAGCAGGTCTCCATACGACTTTTTCAAACATTCTAAAGTGTCGGCTACCTCTCTTCCAACTTTTCCACGGCCCTACTCTTCCACTCATCTACGCACCTAAGCATCCCTCTTCGTTATCCCTTTTCCTCCTTTGTATCAACCGCGGTCTATCATTCTCTCCTCCCTTAAGATCTTTCTTCCCCCTCTCCCCTGACGCTCTCTCTGGCTTCCTGGATTCTATGGTTACTCTATCTATTAAGCACACCAATCTAAATTTCAGACGCGAAAACCCACCTACAAGTGAGAACATGAGACATTTGTCTTCCTTGATCCGGGTCATCTCACCCTATATGCTTCTCAGTAGCATCTATTTGAATGGAATTGAGATAGGATTACATTGTATACAGGTACCATAGGTTCGTTATCCCTCCATCAGTTGACTCCTTTCTCTATTGTTAATATTGTTGACTCCTTGAGTACAACTATCACTGAAAATATTCACATAAAGTGTGGGCTATCCACTGGACCCCCACATAACAGGTGTGATTATTTGCATTATGACTTTTGAGATTTAGCTTCTTTTCAACGTTTCAGCTACAATTGGTTTTGAAGTAATTGCAATCATTCTCACTAGTAATGAAAGTATGCTTTAAAAATTCAGAATCATTGAGGTTTTTATTTATATTGAGATAGGGGCCTACTCTGTAGCTCAGGCTAGCCTGTAATTTGTTTTATATCTCAGCGAATCAGCGAATCTTTAACCCTGTATATTTACCTTTCTTTCTGCTGTGATTACAGATGTGCCCTACCATGCCTGGTTTGGTTTGGTTTCATTGCTTGTCTTTAGCGAGTTCAGACCCCAGGTATGAATTCTTTTCTTTCTTTCTTTCTTTCTTTCTTTCTTTCTTTCTTTCTTTCTTTCTTTCTTTCTTTCTTTCTTTTTTTTGTCTTTGCTTTTGTTTTTAAAACCAGGGTTTCTCTGTGTCCTGGCTGTTTCAGGATTCCATTTGTAGGCCAAGCTTGCCTCAAACTCACAGAAATCTGCCCCTCTCTGCCTTCGGAATGCTAAGATTAAAGGCATGTGCCACCACTGCCTGGATGGCTTCTTGGTAATGTCCTAAACTCTGTTACTATGTCATTCTTATGCTTTTGTTGAGTCAACAGTACAGAGCTTTCTATTCATCATGCCAAGTATCTGTGCCTTGTTAAGGAACTCGCTTAGTATTTTTTCACATTTTTATTCTAAATTAAATGAAACTGCTCTTTAAAAAAAAAAAGTACAGCAATTTTAAAACAAATAAAATCACCTCCCATCTGTGGTTTTATGTATTTAATTATTTAACAAGTACAGTCAAAATCAGCCATGTCTCATCTACTTTGTAAATACCATGGCCACATTCAGGTTTCTATGCCAACTTTTCATAAAACAACGTTGGTATTCAGAATATCCCACGGAAGACCAAAGGAAATTTAAACTCAGGATGAATTCATTTGATGTGAAGATAGAAAAGTGAACATTTTAAATTAAAACATCATTATTAAATGTAAAAATTCATGATAGTCACAAACTATTGCAAAATTAAGATCGATAGCATAAGATAACATTGCATAGCTAGGTAAATATATAACTCAAAGCCTCTTTTTAAAAGCTGCAATATAAAAGCACTGCATTAGAATAGATAATAGAATTAGAATAGAATAAATAAAATGGCTTTTATAGCACATAGTGCTCAAATCATTCCTGACTGCAACAATGTTATTCTGAGATTACAAATTAACAGGTAGTGTCAAAACCCGTGTAATTGAAATAAGGTAGGGGTGCCAAATTAGGATCTCAGCTTTCTGTGCCAAGTGCATTTTGTATCATCAGTCAACACTGTTGGCTGTGCAGTGAAACGATTTGACACTAACCCTCAGATGATTCCCTCATTGCTAAGATCAACCTAATTAGTAGTAAACAAAAGCGAGGTAAAGCAATCAAAAAAAGATCTGGTCACTGGGGTGCTGAAGTGAACAGACTGGAGAAGAGTCATGAGTATAAATCACTGCAATCTTGGAGTAAGAAAAAAAAAACCTTAATAATTAAATTATGCAATTTACAGAGAAGCACAAAAGGCAATTAATAATAGAATTGATTTAGATTCTTGGATCAAAGATGTCTGAACGATCCCTGATAGTTGTGTCACCACTTAAATTATGACATAGCTTGCTGTATTAGAAAGGACTTAGAGCCACTAGTTAAGTACATCAACATTTTCACCAACTACCCTATTTGACCTCGGGAAAAAAACTCTTCATTTCCATAAACTTACATTCTTAAATTTTGTATTGACCCCAGTGACACCAACAATACATAGAGTGACTCGAAAGAGATCAAACGTGTTTCAAACCTTAGAGCACCATTACAAACCGTTGCTTACTATTATCCCTGCAGTAGGTAATATTCTTTCAGACACTACCTTTGTCCAAATTGGAAGAAATGTTGGTCAAAGGTCCACCCGGGTACAGTGCTGCAAGCACGACAAGCAGGGTTCTAATATCCACTAGTTCTTTACGTGTCCTGCAGGGTGCAGGGAAGTTTATCCTACTTAGGTGTAGAGAGGGTTCTGAGAACAGTGAATCCATCGTCGTTCAGTCATTACCAATCTTCTCCATTGAAAGTGGCTCAATAGCCTTTTTCCATATGATGTAAAAAATAATCTCAAGTTTAGGTAACAGTGCATATAAACATGATGTCTTCCATCTAAGGACCAACACAGCAGAAAGGAAATTTGGTTAGAACAGTAAGGGTTGTTTTTTTTATTGTTGTTTTTATTTTTATTTTTTTATACACTACCACTGAGTCCTTTGGCTTGGAATTAGCATTTTGAGATATCAGGAGTAAATAAATGATACCTAAGCCTACCAACATTGTCATTTCCATAAGATAGATTGAAAATGAAAATGAAAAATCTTGATGTGCCTGTAATTCTACCGAAATGTTTAGTATTTTTTATTTACAAATATTAGCATTTTAGTTATTCTTATGATAAAGTCTCCCTTCACCATGTAGTAATTATTATGAGCAGTTGTTTTATTAATTAAGTCTTTTTACTACCCTAAAACTCACCAAGAGCAGTATACCCAGACAAAACAGTACTATGATGTTGCATGTAGTACATTCCCACTACGCTGAGAATACAACACTGAGGCAAAGCCCCTTACACGATGAAATGCTAGGTTTTGTTCCTGGAATAAGTTGAAAATGAAGAAGGAAAGGGAAAGGAAAAGAGAAACATGTATTTCTGAAATCAGCTAAAGAAATGTCAGTCATTTAGAACTAGAAATAAATAAAATTTCCAGTCAGTAAAATAATTGAAGAAACTGATTCCAAGGACAAATTGGCAACATTCAAAATTCATGACTATTTATATTTTAAATATACAATTGCCTGACATTGTTTACAGATAAGTTTGTAAGCAAATAAATTCTAATGTAAAAACTAAATGTTGTATTTCTTATTCAGTTGGGAAATTTTCTCAAAAACAAAATCTTTGCTTACTCTTGTCAACTCTACAGATTTTAATTTGTCAACAAGTATGGAGAGGACATAAGTGTACCATTAAACAAGAAATCTTAGGGGCTCACTTCTACTCCCCAAAAAACAATTCTGTAGCTGAATAAGCACACGTAGGTGAGTGATCTATCTTTGCAAAGGGTTTGGGAATTCTCAAAGCCCTGTGGGAATATCATTATTTTATTTGGCTGTTACAGACAGCAGTTGCCAGTAGGGTAATGATTAAATTGAATAAAGAAATGCCAAGATTCTGAAGAGCACCTGTTGGTAAACGAATGGTAAATACCACATTGTTTTATTTGTGTGTGTGGCATTTAAAAACAATGAATGGAGCCAGACAATGTAATGATGGTTTCTAAGGGCAGTAGATATTAGACAAACAGTGCCAAATTTCAGTTACAGAACAGAGGTGAGATTATGAGACTGGCCATATAGGGTGGATGAAGCATACTGTTTAAAAACAAAACAAAATAAAATCAACACTGCCATTCACAAGGCTAACAGCTCACACACATACACACACGTGTGTGTGTGCACATGACGTATACAGCCAACTAGCTAAGAGTACACTTTTTCCATAAAAGAGAAAAATAAAGGATCTATGAAATTGACAAAAGGTATTTGAAAAAAATTATATATATATATATATATATATATATATATATATATATATAGACATTACATGCATTGAAGAAAGGAAACGATATTCTGTCAAACACAGCACCCAGTCTGTAGGAGAATGATATTATAATTTTGACCATTGTACAGTAAGTTATAATTTTACTGTAAAAACCCCAATATTTGCCTATCTTATCAATCAGCTTTGTAACGGGTGAGTAGAATGGTAACAACACATCAAAATAAGTGCAGTTACAATAGGGTCGCTAAAGACATTGACGGTGGTCGGTAAAACTTTGGAAGAAGTTATCAGAATGCTTTATTACAAGGGAATGCTAAATTATAATATAGTGATGCTTAAACAGTTAAACATTAGACACCACATAGTCTACTAGAGCATCACAAGAGGCCCCATAAGCACATACAATATGTATGTTTTGTGTATCAGTTGAAAATAAACAGCTTTAATTAAAAAAAAATAATTGTACATTATAGAAGAAGCCAAAAAAATCAAAAGGTACCTGCCCCCAGAGGCATTGCAGTTGTGGTTTCTGTGTCACATGTGTGTCAATAGGGGCAGAGAGGAGAGAGGCTATGTCTACGCTCAGTGCTCTGATCCACAACTGAATGATTAATAGCCTAATAATCTCTGAAAAAAAAAAAAGCACGCCCGAGATGACCACCATCTTGGCACCAGGGTGTCAGGACAGTCTACTGCAGTGCAGGCTTCCAGGGAAGGGAGCAAGTTCTTCTAGACTTAGAAGAACCCTGCCTGGGACTGTGGACCATAAGAGAGAGAGAGAACCAGAGACAAATTACCCTTATATAGGGACATTTGGTTGCGTCCCAGTGAGGAGTGACCACCAGAGTGACGTCATGGGACCAAGACAGGGAGCTTGCCTAAGATGACCATCAGTCTGAAGCTGCATAAGGCTATGCCTAAGATGATCCCTGCTTGGTTACTCTTGAGATCACTCCTGAAACAAACACAGATACTCAGAGACCCTGGACACCACTAAAACAAGCAAGTAAGTGGTGGAGAAATAGAAGAGAAAGAGAAACAGAAGGATGTGGACACAATGAAGAGAGGCAGAACGGGAGACTCAAAAGTAATGAAGAACAGCCTGATATGAGTAACCAGTGATGCCACTTGGGACCATGGTGGGGTTGTGACATGTGCTGCCACCCAAGGCCACTTATGGGTTTGTGGTCCTGCAGTAGCAGGAGTCTATAACCACCAAAGGCCAAGCAGATGTCCTTGCTTTGGGCTGTCTCCCTGAGATATATTGACGTCCGAGGGCTGTGAAGAACTGGCCCCACTTCTCACCTGGGCATCCTGGAAGAGCTGGATCAGGGGTCATGAGAGCAGGAGAACTGCCCTTGTCCCTAGCCAGCTGTAGTACTCAAGAGAGTGATCCCTGTACCTCACTTGGGCAGCATAGTAGTGCTGATCCTAGTGGTAGGTGGGTTGGGTGAGCTATCCCTGAAACTTGTCTGCTATTTGGTGACATTGGGTAAGGAAAAGAAATTGCCCCTTTACCTCTGGCCATCAATGGCAGCTGGGAGAGTTTGCACTGTAGTCATCAGAGAGGGAGAAGTAGTCCTGTCCCACACCTGCTGTAGCACTCAAGAGGACAGGCCCAACACCTCACCTGCGCAGTGCAGTAGAGCTATCCATGCATGTGGAAGTTGAGAGTGAACCAGGGCTGACCAGCTCAGCTACCTCTATGATCCAGATATAGGGTTTTTAATTGCCCCACCCCAATATCTACCCCACCGATGAAATGCTGTAGTGCATAAAGGGGCTGGTCCAAAACTACAGGATCTCCTTAAAACAGGGCAACAACAGGGATATCTGAGAGGAGTCCCAGTGAGTTACACTATTCATAGACTATCAGAAGCCATAGGCCTCATACCAGACTAAGAGCCATTGGAATGAAAATTGCAAGCAAAGAAATGTGGACAAAGGATATACTATAGGGTATACACTTTGAAACATTACAGCTTCTACAATGAGATTTTTCTTCTCTGTTGGGGAAGGGAGGAGGTTGCAAGGGAGGAGAGTGAATATGAGAAGAAGGGGAAATGAGTGGGATTGGCATGCATGATGTAAAATTCAAAATGGAACAATAATAATCAAACTCAAGGCTGAAATCTATAACTTAGGAACAAAGAGAACAATACAAAGAATCAATGAAACTAAGAGCTGGTTCTTTGAGAAAAGCAACAAAATAGATAAACCCTTAGCCAAAATAATTAAAAGAAAGAGGAAGAGTATCCAAATTAATAAAATCAGAAATGAAAAGGGGATATAACAACAGACACCAATGAACAAGGAATCATTAGATTGTACTTCAAAAACCTGTATGTCACAAGGTTGGAAAATCTAAATGGAATGGACAATTTTCTTGACAACATTTATCAAAGTTAAATCAAGATCAGGTTAACAATTTAAATATACCTATAACCCCTAAAGAAATAGAAGCAGTCATCAAAAGCCCTCCAACCAAAAAGAGGCCTGGGCCAGATGGTTTTAGTACAGAATGCTCCCAAACTTACAAAAAACTAATACAAATACTCCTCAAAATATTTCACAAAATAGAAACAGAAGGATTTTTGCCAAACTCCTTCAATGAGGACACAGTAACCTTGATACCTAAACTGCACAAAAACCCAACAAAGAATTTCAGACCAATATTCCTTCTGAACATTGATGCAAAAATATTCAATAAAATACTTGCAAACCAAATCCAAGGATATATCAAAAATATCATTCACCATAATCAAGTAGGCTTCATCCCAGAAAAGCAGGGATGGTACAACATATAGAAAATCCACTGACCTATTCTACCATATAAACAACCTGAAAACAAAACAAAACAAAACACATGATAATCTCATTAGATGCTGAAAAGGCCTTTGAAAAATCCAAAAACATGTTTAAAGTCTTGGAAAGATTAGGAATACGAGTCAAATACCTAAACACAATAAAGGCAATAGACAGCATGCTAATAGCCAACTTCAAGTTAAATGGTGAGAAACTTAAAGTGATTCCATTAAAATCAGGGACAAAACAAGGTTGCCCACTTCCTACATGCCTCTTCAACATAGTACTGTAGAAAGAGCAATAACACAAGTAAAGGAGATCAAGGGAATACGAATTGGAAGTGAAGAAGTCAAAGTATCACTGTTTGCAGATGATATAATACCATACATAAGTGATACCCAAGATTCTATCAGAGAACAGAATAAAAACACCTTCAGTAAAGTGTCTGGATACAAAATTAAGTCGGAAAATTCAGCACTCTCCTTTACATAAGGGGCAAAAGGGCTGAGAAAGAAACTAGGGAAACAACATCCTTCACAATAGCAACAAATAATATAAAATATCTTGATGTAACTCTAACCAAGCAAGTAAAAGACCTATATGACAAGAACTTCAAGTCTTTGAAGAAAGAAAATAAAGAAGATATTAGAAGATGAAAAGATCTCCCATGTTTGTGGATCAGTAGGATTGATAGAAAAGTAGCCATCCTATCAAAATCAATCTACAGATTCAATGCATTTCTCATAAAAATTTCAACACATAATTCCAACAGACCTGGAAGAGCAACCATTAACTTCATATGGAAAAATAAAAGACACAGCAGAGCAAAAACAATTCTGTACAATAAAAGAAATTCTGGCAGCATCAACATCCCTGATTTCAGGCTACACTACAGAGTAGTAATAATAAAAACTGTGTGGTATTGGTGTAGAAAGAGAAGGGTTGATGAATGGAACAGAACTGAAGAGCCAGAAATAAACCCACACTGGTAAATTTTTGACAAGCCAAAACCATACAATGGAAAAAAGAAAGCATCTTCAACAAATGGTGCTGGTCTAAATAGATGTCTGTATGTAGAATAATGCAAAGATATGCATATATGTCATCCTGCAGAAAACTCAAGTCCAAGTGAATCAAAGACCTTGACGTATAACCAAATGCTCTCAATTAGAAGAGAGCATGCGGAAAAGTCTGTAACTCATTGGCACAGGAGACAACTTCCTGAACAGAACACCAACAGAATGGGCTCTGAGATCAACAATTAATAAACGGGATCTCATGAAACCAAAAAGCTTCTATAAATCAAAGGACACTGTCAATAGAACAAAATGGCAGCCTACATATTTGAAAAAGATCTTCAAGAACCCTATATCAGACGAAGGGTATACAAACTATACAAAGGACTTAAAAATTGTATACAAAATATATACAAAATGTACAAAGAACTTAAGAAATTAAATTCTAACAAAACAAATGATCCAATTTAAAAATTGGGTACAAACCTAAAACTCACAACAGAGAAATCTTGAATGACTGTGAAGTACTTAAAAAGATGTCCAATGTCCTTAGTCATTAGGGAAATGCAACTCAAACAGACTCTAAGATTCCATCTTACACCAGTGAGAATGGCTAAGATCAAAAACTCAAGTGACAGCAAATGCTGATGAAGATATGGAGAAAGGGGAACACTCTTCCGTTACTAGTGTGAATGAAAACTTGTACAACCTCTCTGGAAATCAGTCTGGCACTTTCTCAGAAAATTGGGAATAGTTCTACATTGAGACCCAGCTATACCACTTCTGAGTGGAACAAAAGATGTTACACTGTACAACAAAGACGTTTGCTCAACTATGTTCTTTGACATTTTATTCATAATAGACAGAAAATGGAAACAACCTAGATGTCCCTCAACTGAAGATGTATAAATATATTTTGGAACATTTACATGATGGAATACTACTCAGTTATTAACAACAAAGAAATCATGAAATTTGCTGGCAAGTGGATGGAACTAGAAAAGGTTATTTTTAGTGAGGTAACCCAGACTTAGACACACATAGTATGTACTCACTTATAAGCAGATATTAGACCTATATTTAAGGATAACAGTATTACAATCCACAGACCCAAAGAAGCTAAGTAACAATGAGGGCCCAAAAGAGGCTTCTGGAATGTTACTCAGAAAGGGAAATAGATTAGACACTGGAAGTAAAGGAAGAGAGGGAAATGGCCAGATGATGGAAACAAGAGTGGGGATCAGATGTGAAGAGAATGGGGGTGAGAGGTGAGCGGGTTGGGAACAAATCAGGAAACTGAGGAGGAGGACATCTCTTTGACAAGCTGGAGGGCTGCGACAAAGTAGGCTCCTGGGTGGATATAGGTGTAACTCTAGCTGAGACTCCTGGAAAAGTGGGGCATGGAGACTGAAGTGACCACTTTCTAGCCAGGCAGAACTCTTAGTGGAAGGAGGGGAACAACAACCCACAACAAAACCTTTGATCCAAAAATTGTTAATGATGCTCCACTATGCTTGCTGACAGGAGCCCAACAATGGCTCTCTACAGTGGGGTAGGTCTCAGGTTGGGCCAATCATTGGTTGGACATTCCCTCAATTTCTGTTTGATCTTTACACCTGTAGTTCTTGTGGGCAAGTACTCTAGATCTTAGATTTACACTTACTTTTAAGCTACAGCAATGAAGTTCATAAATTCTAGAGGGCCAGTAAAGATAATTAAAGATAGCCAAAACCTTAACTGGAGAGAAATGGAAGAAAGAAGAACTAGTACTAGTCACCAAGAAAGGGGAAGAAGAGAAGCTATT